AATCTGACATGCAAAAACCTTAATTTACTATACAGATAAATTAGGGGGTAATTATTTACAATACAAAAGGATTGTCTGATTTACACAGGACTCCTTTAAATAGCAGCTCTCACATGTGTTTGTGCTTTACAGATTATTAACTATTCAGCATACTGGCTGGTGGGTGGGTACAGAGGGTGCAGAGAACTAAATAAAATTGAAGATCATTCAGAAATGGACATAAAATAGCTCTGAAATAATGTTTGTCAGAAAAAAGTGATCTGATCTATATGCCCACGTGGCGAGGGCCTGAGACCTCTGCCGACAGCTGTGCGAGGGTGCTGTCTTGAGTGGATCCCCAGCCCCCTCAGCCTTCAGGTGACTGCAGCCCTGGCCAGGGTCTTGACTGCAACCTCCTGAAAGACCCTGGGCCAGAGCCACTCAGCCCGAATTCCTGATCTACAGACACTGCGAGATAATAAACGTTGAGCTAAGCTGCTAAGTTTTGGGGTAATTTGTTAGGCGGAATAAATAACTAATACAATGTAACTTCAAATGTGCAATTAGCCTGCGTGATAAGTTAGGTCTTAGTGATGGTCCAGAGTAGGAAAGGCGTGTGGACCCCTCAAGTCAAGTAATTACTGTCTGATCAAAGCAGTGCCTTATAAAGTTTATACGTTTTTTCTACTGAATATTTCATTTAAAAAGTGCTACATGCTTGTTCTAGAAAATTTAGAAAATACATAACATGGAAGAAAAATTATCATTTTATTGCTCAGAGAAATTCGTTTTATTATTGTGGCATATATGTTTCTAGTCTTTCTTTTCCCCCACGTATTTTTTTTGTTCATTTTGCATTCTGCTTTTCTTATTTATAAGCATATCCATATTATTATAATTTCCTCAAAAATATCATTCTTCATGACTGCATCGTATTCTACTCAGTGCATGCAGCATGGTGTACTCAGTCCTCTACTGTTAAACATTTAGGTTTTCCCACTCAAACTGTTAACTATGAAAAGCTGTCCCAGTACTTGGGGTGGTAGTGGAAATACTGGCTGACAAGACAGGAACATATCAAGGACCTCGATACATATGGCCAAGTTCTCCTCCAAAGGGATTTTATAACTGAAGCTCCCAGCTATGATTTCAAACCACTCTCCCAGGAAGGGCTCAGAAAAGGAATGTTAAGCAGAGTCCTCACGAGAAGGCGTCCTAGGCCAGGCTGGCTCAGTGCCCGTTGTGGGAGTCCCTCCCAGTCTCTGCTTCCCCCCTGCTGCCCCTCGTGAGGCCTTCCCTTGAGCCTTTGGGAAGAAGGGGAGATGGTGGTGCATGCTGGAATGGTTTCCAGACCCACCGCATCTTGGCGGATGGACGTGCAGGTCAGTGAGCAAGCTCCTACCTCTGAGGTGCTCCGGGTTCACGTTCTCATAGATGGGGAACAAGGGGTTCTCCTGCTCGCTCCGCAGCCGCCTTGCCCTGAGGACGTCCCTCACACACTGGTGCAGGTAGACGTACTGACACTGAAAGAGCAGAGACCGCGTCAGAGGAAGGCAGGTTCTCAACATCAGAAAGCTGAGGGACTCCCACAGACATCAACAGAGATGGGATTCGTGTGGTCAGCAAATTCCTGGATCACCACTCACGAATGGTCTCTAGGACGTAGAAGAGTGCGTGCTCTCTGTGATCACTGAGAAGAGAGTGATGGTGACCGGCAGAAAGGAGGTGTTTCTTCATTCTTTACGTGAGGGCATATTTACAGAGTATGTTCTCTGAGTGCCTACAACTCTGTCTGGCACATGGAAGGTCCTCCACGAATATTTATTAGATAGATGAATGAATGCCAAACACTGTGCTATGCATGTTACATAAATTGTCTCATTTGATTATTCTGACAACCTCATGAAGTAGGTATAATCATCTGTATAAACAAAGACTCAGAGAAGTTCAGTAACTTCCAAGGTCACAAAGCTAAGACCTGGGACCCCAGGATTTGATCCTGGGTGTGTGACCTCGAACTTCATGTTCTTCTCACCTCACCAGTTTTCTTAGATGCATCCTAATTTCACTGCTTTACTGAATGAGAAAATCATTTCATGGCACACCCTGTTGTTGTGTTTCCTTTCTTCCGGCAGTGTAGTGAGAAAAAGGAGGTGTGTACTGGACCCCACTGGATGGTCAGCACTTTTAGAGCAAAGCCAGGGTCTTGTCCACCTTGGTTCTCTCAGCCTCTGAGTCTGGCTCATGGAGGAAGCTCAGAGGTGTTGGCTGACCACAGAGAACGACAGGGGGTTACACGTGAGGACAGACTCACCTGTCAGCTACCTGGGAGCTAACTGCTTTCAAAATAGAAACAAAACAGAAGAGTCAGTGTTTTGGTGACGAAAAAGTCACCACAAAGACTTCCACTGACAACAGATGCTCAGCCACAGGCAGCCAAGGCCCCTTCCTTCCTACCAGCTGAGGAGTCTAAGGCGGGAACGCATGTTCTCGTAATCGCGGTGCTCGGCCTGGGGACCCCTCAGTCACACAGCAACTGCCCAGAGCCCAGGGGAGAGGCTGGGGGAGAGCACACGCCACACCAGGGACCTCGGGCTCTCAGTCTGCCTCCAGCCACTGGGTCGGAATCACAGGGTCCTCGGATCTGTCTCCCCGTCTATAAAACGAAAAGGCCAAGGCTCTTCCACAGCTAACATCCTTTGACCGTCAGAGGGTATAAGACTCTGGGTTGCTGTCAGTTAGATGGATGCTGAAACCTTTCCTGGACACTGTGATTACGGTGATGAGTGTGGTCAGCTTCAGAATATTTTAAAGGTTTGAGAATCAAAGAGAGACTATGAGATCTTCCTCACAGACGATCTTTACAAGTGGGCAAGTATTTATTGTCATGAGTTGGCACGTGGCATTGCCCCTGACTGGAAGCCAGCCTGGTCATCGACTCATGGGACTTCATAGTGTGGGTCTGGTATAATCATTAGATTAGGACATTTCAAAGAAACAAATCCATAATAAGTGAGGCCTGCATTAATCTTAATAACTGTTCTCCCTATTTCTGCTCTCAATCTGGGGTCACTTGTACGAGTGTTTTTTGACACCTCGACCTTGAAGATCCGAGGAGGGTGCTGTTCTGCAAACGGTTGTTGGTTGGGCAGTCGCTTCTCCCCATCCTGAGAACCAGCCACCAGACTATGCACTGACGCTTCCCTGTGTCCTCTCATCCAAAGCGTAATCCATGTTTTCGGTTCTGGGATGTCAGGGTACTGTGGGACCTTAAGGTTCAGCTGTGAGTGAGCTCTGTGCTGTGCCTCATTAATAAATTCTCCAACAACAATCCACCATGGGTTTTGAAACGTTAATATTCATTGATTTGCCTTGTCTTAATATAAATTATTCTTTTCCCAACAGAATGTCCCTTTGAAAATGATTACTACTAAAACCTTCATATTGTTAACGAGCTTCCCATTTTATTCTTAATGACAAGTAGACAAAGTCTAATATAGGAACTTCGGATCATAAAAGATCATTTTTTGCTCTGTTCAGCTAACTGGTGAAGCCTCAGTTCCATTCAATTTCACCAATAGTTGGAGTATTAGGTAATATTTCCTGGATTCTACTTATGGCCTTTCAAGGTCCCTGAGTGCACAGCAGATATGGGAACAAATACCTATAAGGTGACAATCACAGGATAGAACTGTGTACAAAGCTTCACATAAGAAGAAGCCATCAGGTTCACTTTTGGGGAGGAAAGTATCAACTCCAGAGAAAAGGTGACATTTGTAAGAATTTGAACAAAGAAGCGGGACATTCCAAATGATGTGTATGACCTGAAGCGCACGTGTATTCTGGAAACTGAGCTGTCTAGTGTAGCTACAATGTAGGATGCGTGGGTCATGGGGAACCCCCAGGACAGCTCCCAAATGGGCGCTGAGATCCTTAGTCCTACAACATCCCGCTGTTTCCTTCTCACGAGGCAGCGAAAAGGAGGAGGACACACTGGAAACTCCCCTGTCCGACGCCTCTTCGCTTAGAAACCCTTCCTTTTCGATACATTTATCAAAACTTGTGACGACCTGCGACCCTTCGTATCCCAAGTGAGGTGGGATAAAGTTGAGGCTGGCCATCCCAGTGGACCCAGAAGAGTAATACAAGGGGTCAGATGTCCTTCTATCTTTGCTGGAACAGTCGCCTACGGGGCCCAGTGGTGACTCACGCCCCTCTGCTCTCACTCCCAGTACCAAGTGGGCCATGCCAGCTGGGGCCAGGGCTCCTGAGACTGCAGAAGGAGCCCACCTTTGGCAGAGCCTTAAAGCAAGACAGATGATATCTGGATGTTGTTTGGGATTTCGTTTGATAGAGAAAAAAAGGAGAAAGTTTCTATCTCACTGCAGTTTTATTTCATCAGGATCAAAAGAGTCAAAGCAGATTCCGGCTCAGGAAGGGGACTCTCCTTCGTTTTGTCAGACCTAAGACAACGGGGGTGGGCAGGGTTGTGACAGGACACTGCAGATGTAAGCTGGGGCCAGGTTACTAAGAGGCTCATGAGCAAGGAGAGAGTCGGAACTTCATTTCAAAGCCGTGGAGATTTTTAAGCAGCAAGGGCAGTGGCGGAGAGAATAACAGAGCAGAAGGTGGGAGAACAGACAGGACTCAGTGACTGCTGGACGTGGGGGCTGTAGCAACAGAAGTCAGACCCCCGCTCGGGCAGGAAGGGGCAGGGCAAGAGGGGCGGCAGCGTGTCCCCGGGGGCCGGAAGCAGCAAGAGCAGCAGCAGCGTTTGTGGAAGGACAGACGTGAGTTCGGCTTTAAGTTTCCTGAGTGTGAGGTGCCTGCAGGCCTCCAGGTGGAGGCGTCTGGAAGGCAGGGACGTAGGGGAGGATGGATGCACAAGGTATCTGAAGCCATGGGGGTGGAGGATGTCCCAGGGAAGGAAGATGGAGAGAGAGAAGAGCAGAGCCTTGGGGAACGGAAACAGGAAAACGCTGAGGAACAAGAGCCATGGAATCTCCAGAGGGGCCAGGGAAGAAGGAGGAGCTACATCCGCGCAGAGGAAGGGGAGGTCGGCACATGCAATTACCACGCCCGGAAGGCGGCCAGTGACAGTCACAGCAGAGAGCCCCGGCTCTTCCCCACGTGTCTCTCCAGAGTCCCGGGCGGTGTACAGGAGTGCTTCACGGCCCGGGAAGCCCTGACAGTCAGCAGGGAGCCTGAACACACGCACACACACACGCACGCACACACGCACACTCACACACTCGCACGCACCTCCAGACTACTTCAAAGGTTATCACCTCCTCTTCCTAAAATTACAAGTTAAGTACCATTTGAGTTTGTGGAAGTGACAATAAACTAACAAGGATACACTGATGCTGACTTTTTAGCAACATAATTGTAGGCTATCTGCTCATTCATTTAGCAGGTAAGATGATGTGGGGACAGAGAGAAGGACGAGTGTCCCCCACCCCGGGAACTCGTGGTCTGGAGGAGAAAGCTGAAGGACAGCAGTCATGATGCGGTGTGAGGTAATAACGCCGCAACCCTTAATGAAGCGCAGAGCTACGCAGCCATCTGCCCAGGCCGTGAGTGAGGGCCGAGGGGAATGCTGCAGTGACGGTCACCGTCGACGTCATCAGCACTGAGAGACCTGACAGGAAGTGATGCCACAGGAAGCACTCAGCACCACTAGGAAGCACTCAGCACCACCGAGAAGCACTCAGCACCACCGAGAAGCACTCAGCACCACTAGGAAGCACTCAGCACCACAGGAAGCACTCAGCACTAGTAGGAAGCACTCAGCACCACTGGGAAGCACTCAGCACCACTGAGAAGCACTCTGCACCACCAGGAAGCACTCAGCACCACAGGAAGCACTCAGCACCACTAGGAAGCACTCAGCACCACCGAGAAGCACTCAGCACCACTAGGAAGCACTCAGCACCACTGACAAGCACCGTGGGGCTAACCAAGAACCTGAACTTAATTGAGCCTCGCGATCTAAGGGCTGCCAACAAAAACCATGGGGCATCGAGGAAGACATCACCCCCGACAACAAGCATCAGCCACATCCTGAATGTGGGAAATCAACGGACAAAACACACTGGTTTCTTTAACAAATCAGTGTCACAAAAACAAACGGAATTAGATTAAAAGAGACGTGAAAGACACTCAACCAAATGCAATGTGTGAACTTTGGGTTCTGATGCAAGGCACGTATAAAAAGTAATTTTTGAGATAATTAGGGATATTTAAACACTGACTGGATATTAGATGATATTAAGGAATTATGGTTAAAATTGTTAGGTGTGTCAATGGCATTGTGGTCATTATTTTAAAGAGTCCTTATCTGTAAAATACATATATCCACAGTATTTCAGGATGAAATGGTGTGATAATAGGGTTTACTTTAAATATTCCAATGAGGTCGTGGGGCAGGGGAACCGCACTTGTGGGTGTCGATGGAAGAAGAACCAGAATGCTGATTATCGTAGAAGCTGGAGTTTGAGTAGGTGGACGTTCATAATACGTACTATTTTCCAAGTTTTATGTAATTTTTAAAATTCCATAATAAAATATTCAACATGTGGTGCAAGGATTGTTATAATGGAAGTACTCCTGGCCCAGGACAAGGCAGTGGCAGAGGATCCTGGTGTGGCCGTGACACCAGTGTTCTCCCAGCCGTGTCACAGAACACGAGTTCTGCAGGTGTTAACATGTGCTGCCCAAGAAGAGAGTTCACGGGTCATGTGGTGTTGGGAATGGGGGGTTCAGCAGAGCTCAGGGGACGCCCCATTTGTGGGGCACTCCCCTGAAGGTGTCGTGTGTCCTCTGACTGCAGGAGGGAGAGGGGTAGGACAACCATTCACCTGGTGACCACGGGAACCTTTTCTTTCTCATGGAGGATTCTGCAGAGTCACTTGGGCAACACCAGGGCGAGAGAACTCGGGCTTGGGAGGCAGTGATGCAGGGGTGACAGGCGTGGTTTGTGGGGCACTGACCTGACCCTGGGGCTGTGGTCCTGAGGGCTGGGACTCTCTAGAGCAGGGGTCAAGTCCCAGCTTGGCCTCTTCTCAGCCTGCAAAGCCCTTTAGCCCCCGAACCTCAGTTTTCTAGCCTGGAAATAGGAAACCTCTCGTATCTGGTTATTGTGAAAATTTAATGAGACAACATGTTCAAAAATGCCCTGAAAATGTCAAAGGACGGTACAAATGGAAGCATTTGTCCTTCACAACCAACATACACACCCTCAGTGTCTCCAGAGACGGGGTTACAGCTAGGGCGGCTGGAGGAGGAGGTGGGACTCCGTTTCCTCTCTGCTGATTGAAGTTCTCGTGCTCACTCACCAGCCGGTCTGAAAACCACCTTCAAGGTGGACTGGTCTGGCCCTTTTCCCACGTGTATGCATTGATTAAAAAAGTCTATCTTTCTTCCTATCCACCTGAGGAAGATGGGCCACCAGCTCAGTAAAGATGAGGGTACCCATCGTCCTCAAGGTCACTGAGACTGTTTTAAAGTAACGATTCCTAGAAAGCATGTATATTCAGTTCTCTTTCTCTCCCTAATGAGCCCTGGTTATTTCTACTTGTCGGATTAAAGCCCTGGGCATTTTGCGGGGAGGAGAAGGCGGGGGCAGGGAGACCGTCTGTGTCCTTCAGCCTGTGACTCTTACCTCGGTCTGGACCATGTGCACCCTGTGAAGTCTTAGGTCGTGCACAGCTCCATAAATGTCCACGGAGTCCTTGGAGTCTAACTGCTGGAGGATTCGGTCCAAGGCGATGAAGGTTCCGGTCCTGCCCACACCAGCACTGGAAAACACATCGAAGGAAGACGCAGCTTCTTTATTAAACTGGGCTTTCAAGACTCAAGCACGATCTTTCCTTTCCCTCCAAGTTACCGGAGAATGTAGGACTTCTTTCTCTCCTTGTGCTCTCTCAGAGCAGTATCACCTGGAGACCCAGCTTGCCCTCTCTTTCCTCAACCCCCGCCTCCCAGGGAGGACCACCCTGCACTAGGTGTGCATCATTTCTGTGTATGTTTTTATACTTTTCCTACACACATGTGAATCCATAAAAAATATATTCATTTTATGTGTCAAAAATTTACTAAAATGGTGACATGTTTCATGTATCCTTCTGCCAACTTTTCTGCTCAATATTATGTTTTGAGATTTTCCCATGCTGTTACATGTAGATCTAACTTTAACTACTCTACAGAGTTCACAAACCACCACGATCCACACCCTACTGGTAGACAATGGGATCATTTTTAGTTTTTCTCTATTAAAATTGTGCTGCAGTGAACATCATTGTGCACGTGTGTGCAGATTTCTCCAGGGTTGATATTTAGGGGCAGAACTGCTGGATCGTAGGGTGTGAACACCTTCAGTGTCAGGAAGGATTTCCAAATTGCTCCCAAAAGTGATTGTACAACCTGGGGATTTCTGATGCACATATTTACAAGGAAAAGAAGAACCGTTCTCCAGCGGTCCTGGGTGAAAACGCCTGCCATTCTTCAGAAAGCAGGAAGCTCCTGAGTGCCTCCCGTTCCTGTTAGAAGCACCAGGTTCCAAAAACACATAGAAGCAGGTCCCCCGGGAACAGAGCGGACTGGGAGAGAGCGAGCGCATCTGACATTTCTCTCACCCCTCATTTATGAATGCCCGTCAGGGCTAGCAAAGCATTGCTGCAAACATTAGTTAGCTAAACCCCAGGCTCCCCAGAGAGAGAGAGAAAGAGAGACTGTATGTTAGGTTGGTTTTATGGACATACCGTCTGAAGCAAAGAGAAGTCAAGAGAGCTGGAATTTAAGAGCAGAGTTGGTGCTGTGGGTGGCAAGTGCCGCTCGACCTGGAGGGAGGTCTGGAGCAGGGGTCCTGAAGGATGGTTAGGGTAGACAGCTGGAGGGGAGAGAGAGCAGGAGGCGAGAACCAGCGTGTGCAGCCTCCTTCCCCACTGGGGTGGGAGGGGGGTTTCTGGGAAGCTGGACTGGGGGTGCAGGTGGGCCCAATGATGGGTGGCCTGGAAGTCACGTATGGACTTGGCATTTGTACAGTAGGAAAAAGAGCCAGAGGGAGAGAGAAGGCTGGAGAGGGAGGGTGAGGGGCGAAGGAGAAGGGAAGGTGGGAAGGAGAGTCAGCGGGAAGCAGTGAGGCTGTGAGGAGAGGGAGAAGGATGTAGTCACATCTTTGGGGCGAGGCAGGCCGGTCGGCACAAACCCTGCACCCTCCAGCTCCCCTGCTCAGGCCTCTGGTCAGACTCCCAGCTGCCATTTCTCGGGTCCCAGGCCCTGAGTACCTGCAGTGCACCACGGCGGGCCCGGCCCCGGGGGTTCTGTTGATGTAGTCTCTGACGGTTCTCACAAACTGGATCAGGGACTGCGTGGTCTCCGGAACCCCGTGGTCTGGCCACACCGTGTAGTGAAAGTGGCGGATGAGTCTGTGTGTATCGAGCTGTTCCTCCTGTAGGAGCAGAGAGGAGAATCAGAGGAACGGCCCCGGGCAGACCTTCAATGTGACGGCCGTCCAGGCGGGACTCAAGCTGCGTTATTACATGAAGTCAAATGAACGTACGCTGCATATCCTGAACTCCCGGATGGTCCACTCGGGCAGCACAGACTCCGAGAGCATCTGCAGGATGAGGTCCCCGTAGTAGAGGGAATCCTGGTCCGCTGGCCAGTAATGGTCACACTTTACCTAGAGGAAGACAGACAAAGAGCGAGTCCGGAAACATGACCCCTCTGTGGACCTGGACATTCCCTCCTCGAAACGTCTTCCTGAGTGGGAATCCAGGATCAGCTGCTGCAGCCAGCTGACCATCTGCTTTGCGTTGACCTGCTCCTGCCCAGTGCTCAAGCTGGGCTGCTGCTGCCAGTGAAGGAGAGGCAGTGCACGTGGATCCATTGACCTTCCAGGCACAATGTTCCGTGGCTTGAGTTCTGTGGTTGACTTCCTCAGCATTTCAGTTCCACTAGCAGATAAACCATGTCCTACAAGGGCTCTTTCTGAAGAAAGATGGAGCTGGGCAGAGGGAGGCATTGTCCTCCTGGCCCTGTTTGGTTCATATTCGACACCACCGCCCTAACCTGGACCAAGTGCCACATGCCAAGTGGTCTTGGAGAAGTCAGACCATTTAGCTAAGCTCACATTTACAGGCAGTGAGACGAGAAAGAGGATTGTGAACACAGATTGACTGACTACAGATACTGGGCACTTGACACACAATCTCTCTTTTAGTCCTCAAAGGAACCACATAAAATAAAGGATGATAAGTGTATTACAAGAGGTTTGCTTAATTTGTCCAGATAACTATTTCACTTTGTGTCTGCTGGTCACTTCTCCTGCTTTCCTAAGAGCAGGGCTGAGCCAATGACTCTGGCAAGGTGGCTCTCTCACTGAAGGATGGAGCAGACAGGTGCCAGTTAATCCTTCTGTGTCCTGGGCTTGTCTGATAACCCCAGTCCTCACACGGAAACACCTTTGACTGAAACGTCAGACCAGAGTCAGAATCGGTGTCACCTCTCAGAGCCCGTACTTATACACAAGTGGCTTAATTCACAGCGATGTTTTCGTGTGATGCCCACGGGGCTTTTGTGGGGGTTGGCTTTTGCTGACGGGGCAGCGCTCCCTCCGGGCGGCGGAAAGCACGGCGGGAAGTCAGGGAGACCATGCACTCACCCGGCCTTTCTCCACACACTGGGTCACCATGACGATGTTGTGGACGTTCTGTTCCCACGCCATTTTCCAGAAGTCGTCCTTGGTGCCAGGAAGAGGGCCCTGAGTAGCGATGTATTCTCTCCTGAAGCTGTTTCCCTGCGACGAATTGACAGCATGGAGTCAGAACAATGGGCCTCTCAGAAGGTGAACAAAGGGCTGGCTCTGCAGATTAGATGGTTCGCCAGGCCCTGACCTCAGGGAAAGATACTGACGGTGTCAGGCCTGGGAGCAGGAAGGACAAAGGCCGGAACACCCAATTGTGTTAAGAGCCAAACTCCCTGTTCTCAGGCCGGTCTATTCTAAGGGCAGTAATGCAGAAAACACTTCACCCTCAGTTGTGTGCGCGTGTGTGCGTGTGTGTGTGTGTGTGGACTGAGGACTAAACTGATCAGGCTCTTTCCCTATCTGACGTAGAAGAGTTTTCGTCAGTTTGGATAACTGACATTAGGTTAATGTTGGCAGGACACCAGGCAAGGGCCACGTCAGGGAAGAGAAACCACTGTCCATCGAGCATCCACCAAAGAACGTGCCGTGGGTCACACACCTGCTTTCGTCTCGGCCATGACTCTGGGCTGGGTCTGCCCACCCCCTCATTCTGCACTCCAGCAGTACGGAATTACTTGCAGCTCCTCGTGGAAGCTCCTTCTCTCCTTAGGGCCTCTACCTTGTGTCACTTCTGCCACCCCCCGCCCCGCCCCCCCAACACTGCCTGTCATCTGGCCAACGCTTATTTGTCCTCCAAGTCTCAGCCTGCTGCCTGCTCTTCCTTTATCTTGTTCTCTGCTGGGTGGTGTTCTCCTCCCAGAAGCTCCCGTGCAGCCTCTAGCCTCTTGTGACTCAGAGCGTGGTCCTCAGACCAGTGATCACATGGGAGCTTGTCAGAAATGCAGAGTCCCAGGTCCCACCCAGCCCTGCTGAAGCAGC